CCCCCCCGCGCCTCCCCCCGGGCTCCCCCCGCCCCGCCGGCGCCTGCCGTGGCGGTGGCACCGAAGCGCTCTGCGGGGGGACCTTCCACCCGCCTCCCCCCGGGGTGGCGCCGGGCGCCCTCGGCCGTGGGGCGGGCTCTGCCCCGCCGGGCTGTTCGCTGGCGGTGCCTGTGGGCCGGCCCGGGCTGGGCACCGCACCGACCCCGCGGCGTGGTTAAGCCACAGGGCCTATGCGATCTGGAACCCCGTTGACACAACTTAGAATCTTATGGAAAGCCAAACTAGGGTTCCTAACATTCAAACTAGTTTTCTAAAAGATTGTGACCTTATCAGTGTTGCTTTTTTGTGCAGTGCAGTGCTTGCCTTTTTTTTTTTTTTTCTTTTTTTCTTTTTTCCTTTTTGTGGAAGCCTGGCTAGGCTTGTGGTAGAAATACAGCACACCAGAGAGAGCCCAATACTGAAGATCTCACCTCCCTTTAGTATAGTTTTCCTTTACTGAAGAGCACTTGTGCATCTAAGTGCACAGAGTCTCTCCTCACCAGTATATATGAGTAGGTGTTTCAAAATGCATTACATCTGTAGACATTTAATATTCCACGGCCCACAACTATAGATTTGCAACTTAGTACACGTAGTCAAAGACTGTGTTTATGCATGACCTTCTGACTTGTAGCTTGTGTACGCAAAGATAGGTCAGAGCCTACAGTTAACTTTCAGTATTTAAAATACAGAAGTCTTAAAAGCCTGATTTACTTCGTTGCAAGAGAAGTTTCTTTGACTCAGAACAGGACCCATGATCAGCTGTCTGACATCAGTGGTGTAGCCTAGCCTGTTCCCAGAGGGTTCAGTAGTGCTCTTGCCATCAAAGCTGTTTCAATAGTTCACTTTTAAACTCTCCTCTAGGTGCTGTTTTACTTTGTTCCAGCAGATACTTTTAATATGGAGAGACGAACTAACTTTTTATTCTAGGGCTCCCATGTGAGACAGGTAAGTTCTAGTTTAGATCTCTCAGTGTCCCTGCTGAGTGTCTTAAAAATAAGTCTCCACTGAGTGAGTGCCCTGACCATCAGTTATTTTGAAGTCCCTGATTAGCAGTTTTTCATTCAAAAAATCAAAAAGTTTTTGTAAAGTATTGTCAAATTTTTAAAAGTTCCTAAAAATTATTTAACAGGGTATAATGGGAGGAAAAAGAATACTAAAAAGGGAAACATTTCATTACCTAATAGTAATGTAAAACTTGTAATCCCCCACTTCTTTCACAAACAGACTACAAGTTGGAATTTATCCGCATTCATTGCGCAAGCATACCAGCAAAAAAGCTCACGCAAGCAAGTATTTCAAATGCATTGTTTATATACTCTATGTCATAGCCTGGCTGAGTGAGACGGGAGAAAAGGAAAATCCTTGTTTCTTTCATATGTTAGTGTTTTCTCCACTTCTGTGCAAGTTATTTTCTTTAGTCCTACCATTTCTGGATGTCATATTATTTGAGACCCAGTTCCTGAACTTTATGCAGTCAGTCAGTGTTATTCCGGTAAAAAGATACATCATTGTTTGTGTATGTAAAATTAGCTGTATTTGTGCCTGGAGGATGAAGACCTAGCTGTATAAATCATCAGCTGAGGTGATTCTTATGAGTAGAAGTTACCAAGGGTTTTAGTGAAGCTTCAGGTGTTACGCTTTCATTTCCATTTCATTCTTTCTCTTGCTCCTTTTTTTTCCATTATCCTCCCTTCTGATTTCATGGTGAACAGTAGTTATCTCCGAATTCTTTTATACCAGCTTAGATAGCTGTACAATGTTTTTGGTGCACAACGTAATTACTACCTGTTTTAAAGATTAATTCAGATTTACAACTTCCATATTTTAATTGAGGCCTGTATAATAGTTTCATTCATTAAACTCTTCAGGCAATTAGGTAAGGCTGTTAGATTTACCGTTTAATAGAAGATCTGGAAATAATGGAGTTGGTCTCGCCATGTGCAACACCAGACTACAGTTGTTATCTTTATGCTTTCTTTGGAGGAATGCAAGAGGTGATTCTTAACTTGGAAGTAATAGCCAAAGATTCAAAAGGATGCTTCTTTTAAGGGGAAGAGGTAGCTGCCAGGATTGTTGCAGTACTTACTCTTTGTCCCTCCCATGGAAAAATGAGCAGCGTTTACAGTTCTCTGGTGCTCTTCTGTGCATTTGCAGTATGCTTAATTTAGGGTATCCTGGGGAAGCTTGATAACAAAGCTGATAGTACTGTGGCAACCATATGAAGAAATTAATTGTATTTTACATCTGGTGAAAAGGGTTCATTTGAGCGTGAATTGGGATATTTATGCTTTATGCATAAATATGTTTTGTTCTTCCTGATGATCCTGAGGCTAGCTATACTTGCATAGACCTGTCACGTGTTTCATACTAATTGCCTATGACTAGTTCACAGTATGGTGGTGTTTGTTTTTTGGTTTGTGTTGGTTGCTTTTTTTTTTTTCCTTCACGCAAACAATGTCTGGGTAGACAAAAGCCATGTTACTTCAAATTTATAAAGCCTAAATATTGTTTCATGCAGGTGTGATTATAATTATTTTTTTAATGGTATCTCCTAGTCATTGAAAAGATGTGCAAAGTGTGTGTTTCGAATGTCAGACTAGTCTGATTATTACGTACGTGCACTTCTGAAAGTATTTTCACTGCTCATGCTCATGCACAATAAAGCCCTGGTGATTTTTTTTAAATTAAACATTTTGGCTATGTGAAGAGTGGTAAAGATGGCAATAGCAGAAAAAAGGATCCTACTGGAAAGCTTAAGAAAGCTATCTCTAGCTTTATTCTGGAACTAAAATTTATTTATTTATTTATCAACCAGGGTGGATTAGGTCCCGTTAATTACTGTAGTGATCTTTAACAAAAGTCAGTGGCTTAGTGGTGGTACTTTGGTTTGTCCCCTTGCTGCATGACGCAGCAGTTAGGCACGCACAGCCACGGTGCAGTCCCACAACTGGCTGAAGCTAATGTAAGATTGTTACTACTGAAAACAGGATCCAACTCCTGTTTCCTCATTTTTGTTGTGGGCAGTGGCGCTTCTGTCAGTTTTGCTTGCTGGTTCAGCTGGGACTGGTTTTATGGTTGATTTTCAGCCAGACTAACAAAATGAGTTGACTTGTGGCAATACCAGTGTAAGGATGATGGCAGGGCGATTTGGAGTGGGGATCACCCAAAACCACATTCTTATATTAGAAATAGATTGGTTTAAGCTGACTGTGAAGCTTAGATTGTGTTATTGCATCAGAAAGTTGCAGTAACACAATTGTTTTAAACTGACGTAAATCTCCTATAACGGGCAGATCTGTGTACCGGTTCTGACATTCATATGGCCACTGACCTATGAAGGCTGGGTTTCAGCCAGTTTTGTTTGCAGACCTAGTTTACTGCGTGACAGTGTGAGTGCTGGAGATAGAAGGAACAAAGGAGGGAGGCCAGGACCGTTCTTTTTTTCCAGATTGAAGTGTAATCACACATGAAGACAGTTTCAGGTGTGTTTTGAAAACTGGGAGGGAGATGACTTTGTCTTTTACAAAAGTTCTGGTGGTCTAATGGAGGGCCAGACATCTTGCTGTTTGGTCCATGTTACTTGTGATTGCCTCATCCTATAATAGAGGAAAAGGTATGGTTTGGATATTGAACAAATATTTAGTACTTGCTGTGTCTATGCCTTGAGCAGAGGATGCCCATAAATACAAGTACATCTTGTGTTGTGGCTCCTGTCAGGGTTGTGTTTGTCATGTTGACAGAAATATTTCACTAAATGAGAGTGTATTTTGGTGAGCTCTGGAAGGGCTTTTTGAAGCAGTTTAAAATTACACTGTCAGTGGTTTACTTTGGCTGTCAGAAAGTGAATCTATACCTTTCCAGATGCAATCTAAACCCATCGGTCTTAAACTTCCAGTGAAGGTGGTGAATTTTTTACTAGTATATCTAAGAAGTGGGTGCTTGTTCCCTTAGTTGTGCTGTGGGAGGTGTTAACACAGCAGAGGAGCAAAAAGAAGAGCCGAGTGGTAACTTAAACCCCTACAGAACGGTTTGCTGGAGGTGGTCCTTTGATATCACAGGTGACCGTGAAACATTAATTGTATTTTGTAAAGCTAGATCTTCAAGATTTCTGAATTTTATTGTAGTGCATGCTTCGGTTGCATTCTGCAGATCAGCAAGGTCAATCCTTCATTATCGATTATAATTTTGGAATGCATTTATAGTTAATAGTAGCTTGCGGCTGCCTTTTCTGGAGAATGGACTGGGGGATGATATGACAAGAATTGAACACGACATCATAATGAATCACGGCATGTACTGCTGCCAACTGAGCTTACAGTTGTGGCGAGTATATTAAGTGTACAGCAACAAACATTTGTTGTTTTTCAAAACAAGCTAGGACTCAGATTGCTAAAGCCACGTTTTCTTTTACAGCCAGTTCTAAGAATAAGCTGTTTACTGATGTTTCAGTATGGCCACTTGCAAATTTTTGCTGTAATATTCAGCTCTGCAGATTAGAGTTTTCCAGGGAGTGACTTGATTTTCAAGCTTGTATGCTTTCCATATGATAGATCACTGAAAGACCAAATTACGAAAAAGATTAAAGGTAATGTTAAGCATGCTGTTGTTAAACATGGATTTCACATTGAAACATAGATTTTTGCATTAGCTTCCAGTTGTTTTATTTGTATCTCTCATCTCTTGGCAGGTTTCTTTGCAGTCCATCCAACAAGTTTTTCTTGTTTTACTCACTTTCTATAGGAAAGAAAATAGTTTAAAAACAAACAAGCTGTATTTTAGTTATTAGTATTTTAACAGCTTTTCTTTAATTTGCATGTGAAATGACATAATATGGAACCATCAAAAAATATTTTTTCATAATAAAATATTAGGCTTAAGAAATTTTTATGCAGACTGCAAGAGAAATTTTTCTTAAGTAAACATAATTGTCTGAAAAGCAAAACCTTATTTCTTTGAAGCCAATGTCAAAACTTTGAACTTCACTGGAATTAATATTTACAAAGTAAATTCCTAAGAGAATCTGTGCTCAAAAAAAAAGCAGAATGCTTTTGGAGGATTTTCATTCTTGGGAGGAGAGGATAATCAAATTTTGGAACTAATAAAGTAAAATGCCTTAAACTCTAAGCAGAAATGGGAAAATTTTAAAATTTGTCCTAAATGACAACAATGAGAACAATTAAAATTTTATAAATACACAGGAAGAAAGGAGTGAAGCATTTAAAATGACCTCTTTTATTTGGTAAAAATACAAATATTGTGCCTAAATAAAATAGCTCCGAGTCTCTTCAGTGAAAAAGCAGCAGGATCCTATATAGCTTCTAGTGACAAAACACAAACCAAGTTGGTTTTTTTTTTTCTTATTTTTTTCATGGTCTCTGTTCAATGCAGAGCAGTAAATGCCTGTACCTGTTACAGCTTTTAAAAGCCAGTAACTGAGGTTTTTGTGCTCTTAGAGTTGATAGTGATTACTGGTTTAGTAGTATTCAATCAATTTTAAAGATTTAAAAAATTCTATAATTCTTTCTTTAATTCCATTATGTACTTTTTTTTCAGCTCAGAAGATAAAATAACTGTTCATTTCATAAATCGTGATGGTGACAAACTAACAGCCAAAGGAAAACCTGGGGATTCCCTGCTGGATGTGGTTGTTGATAATAATCTAGACATAGATGGTTTTGGTAAGTAGATTCACTGAATACTGTATTCAGTATCTAGAAATTATGTTCTATTACCAGTTTATTCATAAATATTTATAGAATCATAGAATCATTTAGATTCGAAGATCATCCTTAAGATCATCAAGTCAAATTCATAAATAAATATTCATTCACAGTTGATTTATAAAACCTAGTTGTACTTTATTTGGATTTTCTCTCCTTTTTTTTTTTTTTTTTTTTTCTCCTGCAGGTGCATAGAATATTTTGGGTCAAGTTCTAAAAAAATATTTGGGGTGAGCCTTGCTTGAATGTTAAAGGAGGGGGATGTGGGAGTGCTGTCAAGGTGGAATCTGAAAGGTGCCACCTGCAGACGCTTCTGAGCTGAAAGGTTCTGGAGGCAACACAAAACTGGTGTATTTCTGGCAGTGTCTGGTTACTTCATTATTGCCATACTGTCTCAATTCGTTATCAGGCTTTTTGTAGCACAAATTGCTGTAGTACTTGAGTGCTAAGTGAAAGAAACAACCAAATCCATGTCAGTCAGCAGGGAAGAGCAAAAAGTTTAATTCTTATTAAAGGACTGGGGTAAAAGAGACCAATGTCCTAGTGAAATTCTAACTTGGTACAAGTTCTGTTTAAAATGAGAATAGGAGGAAGTTGTAACACCTCCCTATTCCTTCAAACTTTTGTACTTTCCATAGTTAGTTCCATTGAAGTTCTAGGATTCTGACCATGCAAAGCAGCGGTATTTGGTAATGGCAATTAAATACCTCCGGACAGGTATTTGCATGAACATGAGCTTAAGAATTAATAATACAAACTAAAGCAGAAGTGTAAGTACAATTTGCATGAGTGAATGCATACCATGGAGCGATTAGAGGGGAAAAAAAAAATAAGTAGGCTAGTGTAGCACAGTTTAAAATCTGAGGTGTGTTTTATTTAAATGCAAATAAATTTCACTGCTAGTAATAAAATGTTTCATAAGATTTTAAGTCTCAGACTTATGTCTGAGACAACTCTTATGTCTAGAGTTACATACATTTGGGGAAGAAAATTATCTCTTAAAAATCTGTAATGTGTTGGGATAAGTAGCTTTATGTATTACTTATTAAATGTGTCATATAGGCTTATGGCTAGTCTGCTTGTATTCCGCAGTAAATATTCTCTGTTTGTGTAAACATCAGCCACATTAAAGCATTGTGGTAAAGTAGGGGGGGAAAGGGGGAAGATAATGCTGTCAATAAACAGCAGCCAAACTAAAAATCGGAGTTACTGTAAATCTTTAATTACAATATATGCTAGTCCCATTTCAATAGTCATTTGCTAATGAAACATCATACTAGGGCAGAGAAATAATGCAGTATAAATAATGTAAAAATATATGTTCTGTGTTCAGAAAAAAAGTCATGAGGGAAAAACTGTAAAATGTAAATCTTACCTATTTACTTCTGTCACTAGGGGGCATCCCATGTGCAGTAGTAATAATAGAAATACCTTTGTGTAAGGACTTAAACTGTTGAATGATGCAGCTTCACTCAATTCGTTTGCTACTGCTAGCTTTACGGTTGCAGAAAGACCTTCCGCTGTTCAAATAGACTGGTCAGTGTTCTGTCTTCCTGCCCCCACCTCCCCCAACAATAAAACGCTTAAACTGCTGATACGACAAATTTTACATTTGGTACTTTATTTAAACTCTACTTTTTCACATGCATTTGTATGTACTAGAAGACTTCATATATTTTAAAAATCAAGTCTTTTAGTACAGTGTCATGCTCACTTTGCATATATGCTGTTGATACCATTACTACGTGTAATAGCACGGTGCTTTCAGTATGGTTCTTGTGGTCTGATGATGAATCCCACTGTTTCTTTTCATAGCAGTGGTTATACATGCAGCCTTGCTTCCCTTTGTTTCCATATGAGTACAAAGGTGATGTGGTCACAATAGTCTTGGTTCTGCTTTCCTGGAAATGAGTAAATAAATTAAACTTGGCTAATGTCTTACCTGCTTCTCTCTTAACAATTTAAATCAGAGGTGGGGGTTTGTGTGTCCCAACCCCGGTCTCCACACAAGTGTGAAGAGTTCAGCTTTCTCCTCCTCTTGAAGTTGCATGTTTCTTTTTCAGCAAAGTAGAGAACGTGGTGAAAGCCCTATACAGTGGCAGAGACGAATTTGTTAGTGTTCAAACTTTTGCTGTCCTGTGATGACCTGACTGCTCTAGCAGGTAGATGTAGTTGGTGGTTGTTCTGTTCAGCCCTAGCAAATTATTAGATCCTTGGCTCAGGCTGGATTGCCTAGTAGTACATGTAGGCCTCTAACACAGAGAAAACCATCTCTCTCTAACCTCACTACCTTTGTTGCTGGGAATTAGTGTTCTGTTGAGTGAGAAGAAATACCAAGTATAAAACCCCACCTTCGTGTACTTCTGAGGAATTTTTTTGTATAGCAGGCATCTTCTGCTGAACTTCTTGAGGAGACCTTCTCAAAACCATGGGAAAAAGAGGGATAGAAGGATCAACCTTGGGAATAAATTAGTGTTGATTGACAGTGTTGTCTGCTTTTGCATTCTTATAGTGGAAAACTTTTCTCTCTTTAAATGGTAGAAAGGGAATTAGTTAAGTATTTTAAATAACTACAGCATTCAAGTAAACCTTAATGTTGTAGGAACTGTAGAAATACTATTGACAGTTGAATGCAGAGTTAGATATATGATTGAGGGAATATATGAAACATTTTATTAATCAGCAGAGATGGTTCTTGTATGAGACAAACACAGGATTTCTTCTGAAATTCTGCTGTAGTTCTGTAATTTGAAACTTGAATTTTCTGTTATCTTGATTTTTTTTTTTTTTTCTTTAGGTGCATGTGAAGGAACACTAGCCTGTTCAACTTGTCATTTAATCTTTGAAGACCATATATTTGAGAAACTAGATGCAATTACTGATGAAGAGATGGACATGCTGGACCTGGCATATGGCCTCACAGAAACGTAAGGCAATGTAACACTTCACTACCTCAAAGAATGGAAAGAAGGGTTTGCAGATGGGGCAGTCCAGTATTCTCAGAATGCCTTAATCAGCTTTTAAGGAATAGCTGGATTCTGTTACACAAATGGGACCGCCAAGTTTAAATATTGTTTATCTGAATTCATATTAAAAAGATGTCAGTACTGTTTTTGTAAACTGAAGAGTGGCACTTGCCATACTTGCTCTTCAGAGGTGTCCAACACAGAAGTGTCAGATACTGAAGTATGACCAAAAACAGAGTGCTTTCAACAATAACTTTGCCACTGCTGTCGTGTGTGAATTTTCTTGTTCTTGTTTACCTTTCCTTCTATTTTCTGTCTCCATTAGTCTGTAGCTAGTTAATGTATTTTACAAATGTGTTTACAATAGTATTTTAGTTTCGGTCAGATCTTCTTTTCACAGAATCACAGAAGGGTTGAGGTTGGAAGGGACCTCTTGAGGTCATCTGGTCCAACCCCCTGCTCAAGCAGGGCCACCTAGAGCCGATGCCCAGGACCATGTCCAGACGGCTTTTGAATATCTCCAAGGATGGAGACTCCACAACCTCTCTGGTATTTATGTATATAGATAAGATCCCCCTCCTGAGCCTTCTGTAGGATAAACAGTGTCCCCGCTTGTCATGCTTTGACTCATGTCAGAGTGCTCCTAGAGCACACAAGCCAGAGTCCCTTTGGGTGAAACTAATCCCAAAGTGTGCCCTAATGGGCATTTCGGTGCATAGGATTAGACTAGTGCTAGTCTAAAGTAACCCTCTGTTGTGCATCTCCCCCACCATCACACACATTGTAATTAGGGTGTCACATCCTCATCACAGACCCATTCTTAGTGGGCTGCACTACTTGCTGGTGTACACATAGCCTGCATCGTAGAACATACCCACATGAACAGTAGGCAGCTGTGCCTCACAAGGTTTCATAAGCCCTTTCCTTCATGCTTCAATAGAACTGCTTGTCAAAGTTTTTGAGAATCTTTCCAGTGATGTCAGAGGGCTTTATACCTGGCCTGTATAGCATAGGGTTTTTTATGTCTCTGCAAAGGAGTACACTGGATTAACTCGTTTATCTCCTTATACCAGTAATGGGAATCCTGTGCTAATCATTTCTACATGAGGGTACACTTTTTTCTCGCTTCAGCCAAATCTTAACTTTCCTGGGAGGTTGTAAAGGAAAAGAAGTCAAGCTATGAGAAACTTGTTTCAGCTGCTTTTGTTTTATCCTTTTTCCTGTCTCCCAAAAACATTTGCAATCTTGAAAAAAATCATAAGCCTACTAAGTGCGAATTTACTTCGCTCTTACCATCTGCCATGATTCTCCTACGAGTTTTTGGGTTCTGGGGCAAACCAGTTATCTGGTCTTCTGTGCTGATATAAACTTGTCTGATGGAGATGCACTACTAATGCTCTGTCATAAGTATAAGGATAAAAGCTCTTTCTTGTCAGTGACTCTTGATTTGGGAAGGTTTCAGCTACAGCTGCCATGAAAGTTAATGTTTTTTAAAATGAGGAGCTAATTAGAAAGGTTAAAACAAAATTGTTTTGAATAACTGCAGAATTGTTTTGAATAACTTTTTTATAGTGTCTATTAAATAATGGTAAGGAAAGAATTCAACAGAGCTTTTGTAGAGGGAAGTAACAGATATAGGAGTTCTTCAAAGGAGTCAAGGAGCATGAAGAAAGATCTTACAGTTCATATAGTACTTAGGCCCAGAAATCCTTTACTAAGTTTTGAATTGCAATGCGATAAGAGTAGAGGCCCTGTAAAGGATAAGTAATTGGTTAAAAAAAAAAATCTTTTAACAAGGTAGAAGTATTTGGCTGTCTGTTAAGAGTATGCGATCAACAGTGTGATCTAAAAGTGATCGGTGCTAGGTTTTATGTAGAGAGCATATTTGTGAAAGACTTGGGAAAAGAGACTGAAGAGTAAGGTTTGTATATAGTGCTATGTTTCTCAGTGTGGTAAAATTGAAAACTCTCAGTGAAGACACGTGCAAGGATCTTGTGCCATTGAGTGATAGAAACGAAATTTGGTGTTAAAAGGAGCAGATAAATGCATATGGAGAGGTGAGTAGAACAGTGGTAACTTTGTATACTTGAAATAGGCTGTCAGCTAGCTAGTGTCTTTCCAGGAATGTCAGTTAAAGGTTTGGTGTAAAAAAACAAAACAAAACAAAAAAACCCACAACAACAACAAAAAAAACCTAAAAAAAAAAACCTCAAAAAGGTAAATGGAACATTGGCAGTATTAGGTAGGAACAGGTAGAAAACCAGAAAATACCATTATATGACAAAATGGGGATTCACCATGTCTTTATGCTTGTGCAACTCTGACTTTCTGTTTTGTTGGTTTTTTTTAAAGTAGTAGAATTAGAGTAAATAAAGGGAAGGCCTATAAAAGTGGTTAAAGGTGGAATGGCTTTTATGCAGGGATTGATGAAGTCATCTTTTTTTGGGGTCCAAGCTTCTTCATCTTTAAGGGGTGGGGGAATCTGGTTAAATATCTATAAAATTGTAAATGCTGTGGCAGAATTTGAATAGGAGAAGGTAGTTTGTTTCTCGCAGTGCTATTCAGCGCTGCCTAGTTCTTTTTGTACTGCTGTGTAGCAGGCTTGAAACAAAGGCCAGTGTTATTTCACATGACGTGAATCCGTTGCCACACTGCAGAGTACATATGCAATTAGCATTCGTCATTAGTGAAAAACAGACACTTCAGTCAAATTAAGCCTTACAGGCAATGCTACATATAAATATCAGCAATCACGTCTCTCTAATAGGTTTCATTTCTAAAGCTATTCTTACAGATTCATATTCATGAGATGAAATCTTCTGGTAGTGTATGTACTTACACATACATTCCAGTAATTTGAAGTTGATGTATACAGTCATTTACATAAAAGTATTACTTTCGGGTGTAGTACTGAATTGGAAGCTTTAACAACTGTTGATCACTACACGCTTGAAAAACTTCTGTATAGATATTAGTGTAGTACCGTTTTTTATAATATCTCTGCCTACGTTCCTGTACGTAGTAATTATTCAACTGGTGCTACAGAACATTGCCCATTCTTGCTGACGTTTAAGTATTCTATACTTAAGTACCAAGGCATGGACATTGAATTAAAGATATCCCAGCAATAAAAGCGGCTTGTGGTGTCGGCAGAATTTTGTGGTGGTATTAAATCTTTTGATTTTAATCGCTCACAGAAGATTTTTTCATGTTGAATGATAGGTAAAAAAATGAAGGGTTGCATCTCCTCAGGTGCCATGAGTATTTTGTCCTTCTCCTTCCTGTGTTTCTTGTCTCTTTACTCTTACCTTTCTGGCTTAATGACCTAATCTTGAGTTGTTTAGTTTGAAAACATTGGGCTGTCTTCAGGCCCTGGATGGGTTAGGCTATGCTTGCTCTGAGGCTTTCATTCAGATTCATTGCCTTCATCTCTTCAGAGATGCCAAATGTCCATTGGGAGATCGTGTCATTCCCTGCACTTGACTGAACTATTAGTGAACCACTGAAAATGAAAGAGCCACCCTTATTATATGTTACCTCAGCAAGTAGGAAGTACTCAGTGTACAACTTTCCAATGTACTGAGCTATGTTCCTTAACGTAAATCATGTTTATTGCCACTTACATCTTTGCATCGATGTGTGCAATTCACTACTGGTCTTGATTTAGACCATGCACAAGGATGGCTGTTTCTAGATCATAATGTGTTTGGGATGGCCAAACGTTGGCGGCATAAGGAGTAAATGCTGTTAGATATATGATTGGCTAGAACTAATGACAATGTTGTATTTTCCTACAGATCACGTTTAGGCTGCCAAATCTGCTTGAAGAAATCGATGGATGATATGACTGTTCGAGTACCAGAAGCTGTTGCTGATGCTAGACAATCAGTAGATATGAGTAAAAACTCCTAAAAGAAAATATCGTAGGGGTTTTAAAGAAGCTTAATTATTTTTATAACTTATTTTTAAATGTGTAATTAAATATGGAAACTTTACATAATTGTGAGTTATTTTATATGACTATCAATATTAGATTAATGCTATTTTAATTTTCTTTATAGAACCTCCTATATTTTTACGCTTAAAATGCAATAATACTTCTTATAACTGATCATTGGATTATAAACGTTAGCAAGTGTATTACAGATTTCATACAACATTATTCTGCCAAAACCTTTAATGAAAACTGGATCACTTCTACAAGACTTCTAAAAACCCCTGGTCATTTCTAGGTTTCAGACCTGGATATGTAAGAGAACAAAACTTGTAAGACTGTATAGGGTCTTCTTAAAGTGTTGTCATTAAAGATGGTATACATTCAAGAGCCAATTCACATTCTCGGGAAATATGATACTTCCTCAGCAAATAGTGGATTTTCAGGGTAAGGATTTTCCAAACGTTGGAATCTTAATGAGATGTGGCAAATTTTGTCTTGCAAAAATACTGTTAAAACCATGAAATCTAGGGGCCAATACAGAATGTTGGCACCTGCAGCTTAATTGCTGCAGTGCATCTCTGTTGCCTAAATCAGAAGTCAGTAAACCTCAACTGTATTCACGTTTGACTACACCACAAATACGGGGATACGCATGACTTGGAAGAGTAAAGCCTCGGAGCTGTCTAACGGGAGAGCATAACCACTGGAGGTAGATGTAAATCCTTGCCATTCTCTGAAGATGGCCGAGCTGGGATTGAAGAGGGCAATGTTTGTCAATGTAAGATTTGTTCTGAAATCTTTATCCCTTACTTTTTCAGTTTGCTCTTGTTCAGGAGGCAGCCTGATGTTAGCTAAGGCATTCAGCTTGAAGAGATTGCTGGATTCTGGGCCTTGCTCTCAGGATCATTTCAATAATGGTTGATGTGAAATGACCAAGTAATTTATTCCATAAAGAGGGTAGGGAAGACCCCCATGGTGGGATAGCGTGTGGACTGACGATGAAGAGCTTTCAGTTGGATCTTGTTTTAGTCTTTCTAAAGTAGACCAAAATAAAATAATGTCTCTAAGATTCTTTATTATTCTCTCCGGTTTTTGTTGCCTGAATACTTAAATGGTTGTCACTAATATAATAGTTATTACCCTTATAAGGTTATTTTAATACTTTGGGGCATATTTATATATATAACATGTTTATTTACATTTGAATGATCTAATGCATTCATGAATGCCTTATTTGAACGGGTGACAATGACATCTAGACATCTTTTCTTGCATTATTGTATTTATGGGAGAGGGGAAAAATATTATTTTTCCAGTGTTGAATATTGGGATTATTTTAAGCTTTATAAAGAGGAAAAAAAAAAGTCCCTCTTTGTAATAAAAAGAAATATTTTCTAGAACTGTATTGAAAATGGTTCTAGTTGAGATTCTTTGATTTCTTCTCTGAGTAGCTATTACTTTTGTTTCCTGGTATTCCCTTTGGACTTTCCCCTAAAACAAGATATGCCTAATGTGGTCTGCTCAGAACTTAATCATACAGGGTTTTCAGAATACACTTCCTATCTCATCTCATTCGAAATGTGACTTCAGAGCTGAAATTTCCTGGCTTTTTGAAAGACGGAGAGAGCAAGGCCAGGGAGAAGGGTGGAAATAAATTGAAGAAATGTTCTGAAGATACTGCTGTCTTTCTCTTCAACTGCTGTGACTCTAACCATAATTTAGAGGTTACCCTCCCACAATCAGGCGCTAAGGTAAATCAATTCTCCCTTTGCATTGCCTTGAGTTCATTTATATACACTAATTATTATTAAATCTTGAACTTCTATATTTTACATGAGATTCAGGTCTTTAGCTTCCAAGAGAGGGAACTCAGGTCATAACCAGATGTACTGTGCATTGTTACATAGGAAAGAAATTGGAGGTTTCAGTACAGCTGTGGGGTTTGGGGGTAGGTGTTGGTGTTTGTTAGGTTTTGGGGTTTTCTTGGTTTTTGCTTTGGGTTTCTTTTGTTGGGGTTTTTTTTGGTTGGGTTTTTTTTGGTGTGTTTTTTTTTTTTTTTTTTTTGCTTACAGCACCAGGCACTTCTCCCTGTGGGAGTCTTGAAGCGCTTCACACTGTTAAACAAATCTGAAATGGCTCTCATGCGGCATTTTTCTTTCTAAGCCAAGGCTGTTTCATTGTGCATTCCCTGTGACGGCTTGTCATTACAAAGACTTTGACTCTCCTGTAGTGTGCCTGTGGAAGGAATTATTTAGCACAGCAAGGCAAAAAAGGACACTTCAAAGTTCACTTCGAATTCTAGAGGTATCCCATATTGCATGCAAATGGAAATCTCGGAAGGTGAAGGAACTGACATGTAATCCCCAAAATGCACAGCTCAGAGATACTTGTTTCCTTATTGTCAAAATGATTTGCAAATAAATCTTATTTTATACCACTTTCTGACACACCTTGTTTGTATTGATTTTTCTTCCTTTTTTCTCCCAGTCATTGAACGTATTTCTGGGTGCAAAATGGAACTTAACAGTTAATGATGCACATTCAAAAATAAGTGTGAATTATTGTGCAATGACACAAAAAACTAATCAAAACTAATCAAATATAACATCAAACATCAAAACTAATTAAATATATATGTATTTGTTTACTTCCTTGTCCAAAGAAAGATTATAGGTAACTCATTTTCTAAAGGCATTTCCTTTTTCTGTCAAAACGTGGAGTCACTGGGTCTCTTCTGCCTCTCTCCCCTCAAAAATGAGGAGGAAAATGAGCATTGCCTCTGTCAGTGCTGTACTTGTTAGTGCGCGGCGTGATGTCTGAGGGGGAAGGCAGGCGCTGCCTCGCGCTCCAGTGTCGCTGCGCCTCCTCCTGCCCGGGGAAGCCTCCGTCAGCTGGCCTGCGGGCTCCCACCGGGGAGAGGAAGAGACGCGGTCTCCGGGCAGTTTGTTACTCCTCGGTCAGCAAAACTTCTGCATCTGAAGTTCACGGCTTTTGGTTACAGGGCTCCCAAAGATTTAAGGGAGATACGTCCAAGCTTAGTCCACATCCCGGCTGGGGGCAAGCTGAAAAGGCCACGTCCAAAAAAGCGGCAGTGGAAGTGGCAGTGCTTCCCCCACTCGCTGGTCTGGGCGTGGAGAGGGTTCCCTACAACCTGACTTTGTTTTGCCCTTGCGGAGGACAGCGTGGTATACAAAAAGGTAGGGCAGCCTAAAAAATCCTCATCCCTTGAGAGGATAAAGAAGTAAATCTTGGACTAGAAGAGATGCTCAAGCTGAGTGACTGAGGTATCAGACAGTAGAAGCTGTTGGAAAGGGGCTGCAAGCTGCTGTAGACGACTCAGTGATTTCTCCTCAAGTGATCTGAAGAGATGCGAAAGGGGAACGGGGGTCTCCTGCGTGGTGGGGTCTGTTGCCACCGGGGGTGCCCGTGTAGATCCCCACGCCGCTGCGGGCCGTCCTGCCTCAGCGCTCTCCCCGTTGTGCTGCCAGGAGAGCAACAAGCGGGCTGGTTCGCATCTAAAACTACAGGCATTAAAAGCAATCCTCAGATTTACTTTCTAATCTCCTGGCCACCTCTTCTTTTTTTATGAAGTTAAATGGTTTTAGTTTTTTTTTTTTAACGTGAACCAATCCAAATTCAAAAAGGTCTTGTTAAAGTAATTTCTGGCCAGCAGTGGTTTATCACTTGCAACAGGGGCAAACTCTTCATCGAAAGACATGGCCCCATTGTGCAGAGAGAAGTATCTCTGGGGTCCCCCTCCATGCTTCTGGAAGCTCCCTTGCCCTCAGCCCGGCAGCAGGAACGCAATTTCGAGCATCGTCTAGCTGCCCGCGTGCTTCCGCGAGCGGTGTTATCTCCGTGCGGCCAGTGCAATCCCCTTGTTCCTAACCCCTTCCGCATCACGGCGCCTTCTTCCCCCAGCGGGCAGGAGGGTGCGCCTCTTGCATCTGCTAGAGATGAGAAAGGATAAAAAGGGGTTGGGACGGACTTGGTACAACTTTCTTTACACCCGCTTAGATACAGGAGAGCTTTCGCCTCCCCATTTCTGGCTCTTCTAGAGCGTGTCTGTGCTAGGAAAGAGGATACGGTCTGAAATCCAGCTGGTGCTGACCCCAGGTGGTAAATCCCTGCAGCACAGCGCTGGTAGGGATTAAAATTTGGGAGTGGGAACTGCGCAGCACGTTAAAGCAGCCGTGCAGGTGAGCCCAGCTCGGCTACAGCTTTCGGATGACGCTGGTTACTATGGAGCCAGCTCGGGTGTCTATAGCTGTGAAAGAAACCTAGGTTTGGTGTTCTAGTGGAAAATTGCTATTGCTGGATCAGGCCAGGCTGCCACAGCTCCGGCTATCCGTGCCCAGCTGGCGGCGAGGCTGAGCGTGTAGTCCCATAGACAGACAGACGTACAGACACACCTGCATCAGCCGTGCTGATCAATGCAGACAGAAAACACGGCACCAGCCATCTGCCTCGTGAGCCCCAGGCCCCTGCTGGCAGCACCCCCCTGCATCTGTGAGCCGATGGGGAGCGACTCCCCTTGCCCGCGGGGCTGGTGGCTCCCCCTTGCCCGCGGGGCTGGGGGCTCCCCGTGACAGCCCTGGCAGCAGCCCCTTCAGGGGCTCAGCCAGCTCTGGTGAGGTTACGGGGTTCCCCTGCCTGTCACGGTGCCTCTGCTCCTTCGTGTTGGTGGGGATGAGCCGTCACTCATGTAACCTAACACTGTTCAATGATGGGACAGGACTTCTGTGCTCCTGGTTTCTCCAGCAGGCAACAGAGGACACGTTACACATGAGAGGTGATAATGACATGGGGCACGGGTGCCGAGTAAGTAACCGTTTCCAGATGCTCCGGAGAGCTCTGTGGGTGCCTGCGGCAGCTGTACCTGGGTTGCAGCTACGGCTGGGTCGGTTTTCTTCCCTCTGGCACCAAACTGCCGCTGGCAGCTGATGGGCTGAAATCTCTGGGTTTGGAGAGCTCTGTCCTATCTCACTGAAGGAAATGCCAGGCCATAGATGGCATTTCTCCTTCAGGCTGTCTTTGATCAAAAATGGCTCTCCTTAATCCAGTTTTGAATCAAACAAATACCCAGACAAGTTGGAGGTTCTTACTCCAGCCAAGTGCATCTGAGCAGGTTCAGAGGCGGGTTAGTGGCTCATTAACCCTTCCTCACCTAACAGCCTGGCTTTGCATAGGTAAGCCAGCCCTAGCTTTTGGTCTGTGAACGTTCACAAGCTTTACTGGTAATGGTTTTAGAAGAAGGGCCTTGCCTTCCTAGAAAACTCTCACTGGAGGGGAGAAAGGGAAACAGAGCGAGGTGACGCAAGATCACGGTGATGCAGCTGCAGCCTCTTGGATCCAGGAGAGAGGCAGACATATACCACCCAGGGAGCCAGCGATGGGTTTTGGCTGGGGATAAAGGTAGAAGGTCTCATCTCAGAGGAATGTTTAACAACAGATGAAAATAGCTGTAAAAGAAAACAAATGGTGTCATAGAGACAAGGCATATGGTAGCTCAGAGTGATGGGGAAG